CATGCACGGGAAATTGAAGCTAGGTTTCTTATCTCCTATGATGATGAGGACGTGGTGAATGGCTCCAGGGATGGGGAAAGTTAGGAAGATGCACCCAAAGGGGAAGCGGCTCCCGAAGATAAAGCTCCCGAGGACGAAGACGGCACTCCCAGGGATGTGGCCCTGCAAATAGATTAGGTTCCTTTTTGTACAAGGGCCCCTTATGGGCGTTGTAATATGTTTTGTAAATTTCCTGAGTGAATATAAAGTAGCTTTTGCTCTGTCCTTGATTTGTGTTGACTTCTATTTTGTCTCCATTTATGAAAAATTCCGACAATTAAAATGCTAAATTCGGGTGTCTACTTAGACTCGTAATAAGCCCTTAGGCTTTTATTGCCCAAGATCATACCCCTTAAGGTTTTGGATGATCCCCGAGCAAAACATAAACTCAAATTAATGCGGGCTTAGGGCAACGGGGCCTTTGGGTCAGAGTTAAACGAGAATGGGGTCTCAGACTCCCAGAGGTCTTCGGCATAACATTTCTTTTAAGATGGCCCTTAGGCTCTTGCATATCGGCCCTTAGGCCTTTTATAGAATTGGCCCCTAAGATCATTTTTAGAAATGGCCCTGAGGCTCGTAAAATTGGGCCATTTAGGCCTCTTAAATGGCTATATAATTTTTCCCTCATTTCGGCTAAAAGACTTAGTGAAATTTTAGTTATGCCTTAGCATGTGTTTTTGTACCCGTTGATTTTTTTGAAGGCTCGACTTATCGGAACCTTATCACTCATTTTGTTTGTGTGGACATAATAGAATGCCTCTTAAGATATTTCCGAAGGCTGGTGTAATTGCAGCCTTCGGATTGTTCGAGGGCTGATTTATCAAAGCCCTTCAATTTTTCGGGGGCCGTATTTATTGAGGCCCCTTATATTTTGCTTTTGCCGGGGGTAGCCTGACTTAACCGGTTTTTCAATGTTTGAAGGCCTTTAATATTATAGCGAAAATAGGACGTCTCCGAATCGCATTATTTTAGCCGTAGCCTTTATGTGACCGTAGTCTTTAGTATGGTCGTAGCCTTCAGGTTTTCACTTGGACTTGTTTCCTGATAACTTTCCGAATTTCTTCGAAAAGTTAGTCCCCGAGTAATTGGCCTTGGCCTTCGTTTCGAGGGGGTGCCTCTTTGAGGTCTTGTGAGTCCGAATTTTCGATGACACGTATGCATTGACTATCAGTGACAGTCCCCGGGTATTTCGATGTGCTTTGGCCCGTGAGCCGCTTCCCGTAGAATTGTAAGTGTAGAGCTCGTATGAGACACAAATTGCTTTTTATATAACCAGAATGCTTCTTTAAATAGTTGATACATATGCACATGTTTTGCAGTCGGGGCTCAACTATTTTATATGGACACGATTCGTTTGACTGTTTGGCCTATTACAAAGTTCTCCTATCGGGGCCTTCTTAGGCGTAAAACATCTTTCCTGAAAAAGAAACCTCCGATGGTGATGCCCCCCAGTATTCGAGATTGATGGAAAAGAAGCCTTGAATACTTGTTGAATGTTCCTTGGGTAGCATATGGGTGTTGCCTCGTTAAAAACCTTGCCGATAAAATCCATTTGGGATAAAACCAGATCTAAGGAAAAAAGTGCAACGCATGCTTTCAAACCCAAGGCCTTTGAGCTTAGTAGTAATATCGCTTGAGCATCCATGCATTCCAATTTTCTGGTAGTTGCTCGCCTTCCATTGTGTTAAGTTTGTAGGATCCTTTTCGCTATGACTCCGACAACACGGTATGGTCCTTCCCAATTGGGACCGAGCTTTCCTGTGTTTGGGTCTCGAGTGTTGAGAGTGACTTTCCTTAGGACTAAGTCCCTGACTTTGAAACATCGAAGGTTCGTCCTTCTGTTGTAATACCTTTCGATCCTTTGTTTCTACGCGGCCATTCGTATTAAAGCGGCCTCACACTTTTCATCGAGTAGTCCGAGAGAAGTGTTCATAGCATCATGAATTGAGTCCTCGGTGGCATGCTGAAACCTGACGCTAGGTTCCTCGACTTCGAGAGGGATCAATGCTTCGGATCCGTGTACCAATGAAAACGGGGTCTCCCCAGTGCTCGACTTCGAACTTGTTCGATATGCCCATAGCCCCCTGGGCAATACTTCTCTCCATTTCCCCCTTTGTATCATCTAACCTTTTCTTCAAGTTTCGAACTATGGTTTTGTTTGTGGACTCGGCCTGTCCATTTTCACTTGGGTGATAAGGTGCTGATAGGATCCTTTTTATTTTATGGTCCTCGAGGAATTTTGTCACTTTGCTGCCGATGAACTGTTTCCCATTGTCACATGTTATTTCTGCGGGTATCCCGAATCGACATATGAAGTGGTCCCATATGAAGTTGATGACTTCTTTTTCTTTAAACTTCTCGAAGGCCTGCACTTCAGCCCATTTTGAGAAGTAGTGAGTCATAAATAAGATAAATCTAGCTTTACCTGGCGCTGTTGGTAGGGGGCCGACGATGTCCATCCCCCATTTCATGAATGGCCACGAGGATAGGACCAAGGGGAATTGTTCACCAGGCTGATGGATTATTGGTGCAAATCTCTGGCATTTGTCACACTTCCGAACGAACTCCTTGGTATCCTTTTCCATGCTATACCAATAATACCCCGCTCTGATCACCTTGCGACTAGAGAATCTGCACCGGAATGGTTCCAACAGGTGCCCACGTGGATTTCCCGTAGTACATAATCGGTGTCCTCGGGTCCCGAACGTACTACCAGTGGTCCATCGAAGGTTCTTCTATACAACGTTCCATTTTCATCGAGTGAGAATCGAGCTGCTTTGACTCGAAGTGTTCTTGGCTCTTTTGAGTCCGCAGGGAACTTCCCATGCTTCAAGTAATCAACGTACTTATTCCTCCAATCCAATGTTAAACTTGTTGAATTAATATCTGCATGACATTGTTCGACCACCGACTTCATTAGCTTTCGACAGCCCCCGGGATTATATAGTCTTCTTCGACTGATGACCCCAAATTTGCAAGTGCGTCGGCCTCGCTATTATGTTCTCGAGGTATATGGTCCAGCATCCACTCCTTCAAGCGGTGCAACATCATTTGAAGTTTGTTTAAGTACCTTTGCATTCGATCGTCTCGAACCTCGAAGCTTCCGTTCACATGATTTACCACGAAAAGGGAATCGCACTTTGCCTTGATGACCTCTGCTCCAAGGCCCTTGGCTAGTTCAAGACCTGCAATCATGGCGTCATACTCGGCTTCATTGTTAGTCAATTTACATGTTTTGATAGGTTGTCTGATAACACTGCACGTAGGCGGTTTCAAAATGATAGCGAGCCTGGATCTTTTCACATTCGAGGCACCATCGTTGAAGAGCGTCCATACCCATGGTGATGTACCCGTTTTTAGAAAGAGTTCCTTTTTCTACTTCAGGTACGAGGGCGAGCGCGAAGTCGGCCACGAAGTCTGCCAAAATTTGAAACTTGATAGCCATTTAAGGCCGATATTTGCTATCATATCCTCCAAGTTCGATGGTCCATTTGGCCAATCTGCCCGATAAGTCGGGCTTATGCAAGATATTTCGAAGTGGGTATATAGTCCGTTCACATATACGATGGCATTGAAAATATGGTTTTGATTTCCTATATGAGCTTATTAATGCAAGAGCTAATTTTTCCAAATGTGGGTACCTGGTTTCAGCATCTCCTAGGATCCGACTCACATAATAGATAGGAAATTACGTACCTCGCTCTTCTCAAACCAACACTCCACTTCTCGGGCACGGACAAATACAGGTAGACTGTTTCATCCTCCTATGGAGTATGGAGTAGTGGTGGGCTCGAGAGATATCGTTTCAATTCTTCCAAGGCTTGGTGGCACTCCGAGTTCCACGCAAAGTGGTTCTTCTTTTTGAATAGGGAAAAGAAGTGATGGCTCCGATCTGATGACCCCGAGAGAAATAGACCTAGGGCAGCTATCCGTTTAGTCAGTCGTTGCACGGCTTTCACATTATTTACCACGGTGATTTCCTCGATGGCTTTGATTTTGTCGGGGGTTGATCTCGATACCTCTGTTCAATACAAAGAAGCCCAAGAACTTGCCTGAGCCAACTCCAAAAGTGCATTTCTCGATGTTGAGCTTCATGTTGTATTTTCTAAGGATGTGCAATGTCACCTGCAAATGGATCAAATGGTCCTCTGCGCGCAGGGACTTAACTAGCACATCATCAATATAAACTTCCTTGGATTTGCCTATTTGATGTTCGAATATCTTATTAACTAGACGTTGAATACGTGGCTCCTACATTTTTTAGCCCAAAGGGCATTACATTATAACAATACGTTCCATACTTGGTGATGAATGAAGTTTTCTCCCGGTCCTCCAGGTCCATTTGAATTTGGTTGTACCCCGAGTAGGCGTCGAAAAAGGTAAGGATCTCATGGCCGGCTGTAGCATCGATCAAACGATCGATGTTGGGCAATGGGAATGAATCTTTAAAGCATGCTTTGTTCAAATATTTGTAATCTACGCACATTCTAAGTTAATTCCCCTTTTTAGGCACTACCACTACGTTAGCTAGCCATTCTGTATATTTTACTTTCCTGATGGATCCTATTTTGAGAAGTTTGGTTACCTTTTCTTTGATGAATGCATGTTTTACCTCGGACTGAGGTCTCTTCTTTTGCTTCACCGGCTTAAATCTGGGATCGACACTCAATCGATGGGTAGTTATCTCTTGTGGATTCCCTGTCATATCGAAGTGGGACCAAGCAATGCAATCAATATCATCAATGAGAAACTCAACGAGTTTTTCCCTGAGTTCGGGGGTTAACCCCGTCCCCAGGTGTACCTTTCATTCTGGAAGATGTTCGACTAATATGACCTGCTCGAGTTCTTCGACCGTGGATTTTGTCGCATATGATTCCTTGGGGGTAATGAAGATTTGGGGGATAAAGAAATCTTTTTCTTCGTCCCCAGCCACCTGTTCATTGAACACTTGTCCCTCGGGCTCAGCCGAAGACACGGACTGTAAATGCTATTTTGCCACCTGATCTTCCTTCGATTTTTTCGACGTAGATGATGCCGATACTGGTGCCAAGTCGTGCACTGAAAACATTTCCTTCGCTGCATGCTGCTATCCATATATTGTTTTCATGCCATCCTTCGGTTGGGAACTTCATCATCTGATGAACGGTGGATGGCACTGCCCTCATGTTGTGGATCCACGGCCTTCCAAGCAAAGAAGTATAGCTCATGTCACCTTCGATGACATGAAATTTGGTTTCTTGTACGGTTCCGGCCACGTTGACTAGAAGGATGATTTCTCCCAATATTGTTTCACTTGCCATGTTATAGTCATTCAAGACCCGAGGTGCTGGTATGATCTGATCAAGCAGCCCGAGCTGCTCCACGACCCTTGACCTAATTATATTTGCTGAACTACCTCGATCACCGAGAACATGTTGAACTTGAACTTTATTTAAAAGGATAAAAATTATCAGTGCATCGTTGTGAGGTTGAGATAAAGCCTCGATGTCTTCCTCGCTGAATGTGAGGGTGTCTTTAGGCAAGTAATCCCTAGTCCGTGTCTCCCTTGTGATGGATACTTTGGTACGTTTGAAAATTGGTCCCTGTGGAACGTAGACTCCACCGACGATCATGTGGATGACATGTTGAGGTTCTTCGGGTTCATTCTTTCTTCCTGCGTCCCTCTCCCTGAAGTGATTTTTAGCTCGGTCACTTAGGAATTTTCGAAGGTGACCCTCATTGAATAACCTAGCCACCTCCTCCATTAGCTGTCTGCAATCTTCCGTTCTATGACCATGCGTGCCATTATACTTGCTCATTAAGTTCAAGTTCCTTTGGGAGGGATCACTCTGCATTGGCCTAGGCTATTTAGTATCCTTGATTCTCCATATAGCCGAGACGATCCCCGATGCATCTATGCTGAAATTGTACTTCGATAATCGGGGAGCCTCAGCGGGGTCGTCGTGTTTACCGAACCCGTTCTTGCTCATTAGTCCCCGAAAACCTTGACCTTGGTGACTTCTTCGATCGTTCCGAGAGGTATTGTAGCTCGGGCCGTTGTTTCTTCGATCTGCATATGGTTGATACTATTCTTTGCTGAATCTTGATCCCTGGACTGTGTCTCTCCGGGGCTTGGCTGCGAACCTGTTAGGATGAACTGTGCCCGAGGGGGCTCCCAGCTGGTCGTCCTCGACCCTAATTTTTGGTTGATAGCGATTTGCACATCCGACCACGTTACGGCAGGATATTCAATGAAGTTCTGCCTTCGCTGTCGAGATGCAATAGAGCATCTTTCATACAAACCTTGCATAAAGGCATGAACTGCCCAGTCATTATAGACTGGCGGTAATTCCATTGTTTCCATCTGAAACCGGGACACGAACTCCCTCGGCATCTCGTTGTCCCTTTATTTTATTTTGAAGACATCCGATTTTCTTGTGGCCACCTTTATGGACCCGGCGTGTGCTTTCACGAAGGCATCCGCCAACATAGCAAATGAGTCAATGGAGTTAGGAGCTAGGTTGTGATACCAGATCATAGCTCCTTTTGATAGTGTTTCCCCGAACGTTTTCAACAATACAGTCTCGATTTCGTCATCATTCAAGTCATTTCCTTTCATTCCACATGTGTATGAAGTAATATGCTCATTAGGGTCAGTTGTTCCGTTGTATTTCGGTATATCGGTCATGCAGAACTTCTTGGGAATGGGAATCGGAGCCGTATTTGGGGCGAAAGGTTTTTGTATGAACTTTTTTGAATCGAGTCCTTTCATAATTGGAGGTGCTCCTGGTATCTAGTCGACTCTTGAATTGTATGTCTCTACCTTTTTGTCATTTTTTTCAATTTTCTTTTCTCTGTACTAGATTCTTTTTGGTCAATTCTTCGAGCATTTTCATATTAGCGGGATCAGTCCCCAAGCCACTTTCATCGGGTCTTTCAGGCGCAGGCTCCGTATGCCGGGCGTCCACTAGTTCGGCGGTGTTTGGAGTTATGTTTTGACTTTGAAATTGAGCAATGGCTACTTGTTGAGCTTGTAGCATCTTGAATATCACTTGGAGGCTGACTCCTCCTTCTTCCAGTCCTCGCGTTTCCTGGCCTCCGGTTCGGGCTTCCCTGCGCGCATTCCTCAAGGGGTCTGTGCCTGCGTCCGTGTTTATAGTGTTGTGCGAACTGATATCAACTGTCTCCACGTTTGGCACTCCCTCAAAGTTTATGGGCGGTACACCAAGCCCTATGCCGCTGTTTTCTCTGAGTCCCTCACTGTCAAGAGCTGGTGCATTTTGTTTTGCTAGACATAGTTTGGCCTGAAATAAAAAAAAAATCTTTAACAAGAAAAAGTGTGAAGAATAATGTATGATATCAGAAAACTAGCACTAAAATAATCACTATTATCTTTAGCCCCACGGTGGGCGCCAAACTATTTACCTTGAAAAATATGGGTAACAATTAAGGATGATTTGTGGTTTTAAAGATATGTGATATATTCTAATACTAGTGATTAAACAAGTAATATTGAGCTTAAGTAAGAAAGAAATGATGAACCAAATCAGTGTTATTGACGCAATAGGGGCATCGAGCTTGGTTGTCCCGTAAGAATAGTAAAGTATGAACAATAAAGTAAAGACAATAAAGCTGAAGAACATTTGTTGAGCACATTAAACAAGGAGAATAGAATGTTCTATTGCAGTGAATAATCTTAGATCCCTTACAATGTTATTGGGGTCCCCTTTACATAGGAGGAGAAAACCCCAATATAGTACATTCCTCATTGTGGTATAAAATTCTACTGGTACAGGTGTATAACGACCTAGTACGGACCTGTACCATTTCGTACGAACCTTATCCTTTAATTAATGCTCTGGTCCTCGTGTCCTTGACAAATTCTTGAGAAATTCCCACTCTTTCTTGATTGACTTCGAGATTGTGCTGCCCTCGATGCAGGTCGTGCCAGGCCTTCGATCAGTTTCCTTGAGGTATGTTTCCCTCGGCCGGATCTGACTTCCATTTCGAGTTGCTCGGACTCGGACTCATAACCCAATTTAAGACCTCGAAATCGGGCTCCCTCATTTTTATCGTATACAAGTCAAATCAGAAAAACAAATCCTTTGCTGAAAAAGTAACTACTAGTAGAGAACCTGGTCCCTCATTTAAACGCATAATGCCTGCACGGACCAAATGATCCCTGATTTACCCCTTTCCTCATTACAAGGGACCCAAACTAATTTGGTCCCCGAAGCTAACTCCTGACACTTCTTGCGCAGGGAACACTAAAAGGAAGCAACCTACAATGGTAAATGGATAATGGCTGCTCAAAGCACATGACTGGAAGTATAAATGATTGCCTTTCACTTAAAGTCTTGCAAGGAGGGAGTGTATCTTTTGGAAATGGCAAAAAGGGATACATTCAAGGAGTTGGAAGGATAGGGAAGTCTGTTTCTCACTCAATCGAAATTGTGTACTACATGAACGGTTGAAATACAGCTTGCTAAGCTTTTCCAAAATTTGTGACAAGGGAAACAAGGTGGAATTTGTGTCAAAAACCTGTATAGTCATAAACCTGGTGACTGGTGAGGTGGTGCTAGTGGCAAAAAGATACAAGAATATCTATGTGGCTTGTTTTGACTCATTGAAGAATGGTGATCTAAGTTGTCCAAGTGTTGTTGACGATGATACTACATTATGGCACAAGAGGCTAGGTCATGCAAGCTTCACGTTGTTAAACAAATTAGTCAGGAAGGACCTGGTTTGTTGTGTGCCTAAGTCAAGCTTCAAGTATCACAAAGTATGTGATGCATGTGTAAAAGGGAAGCAAGTTAAATCCTCATTGAAGCCAAAAAAGGATGTCATCACTGCAAGGCCACTTGATCTCCTTCACATAGATCTATGTGGACCTATAAGAGTGCCAAACAGAGGAGGAAAGAGGTACATCTTCGTGATAGTTGATGACTGTTCCAAATTCACCTGGACTTTGTTCCTAAGGACCAAGGATGAAACCTTTGAAGTTTTTGTTGCCTTTGTCAAGAAGATCCAAGTGAAGATGGGTAATAAGGTAGCCTACATTAGGTCTGATCATGGGACGGAGTTTGACAATGTCAAATTCGATGAGTTCTGCACTAAAAATTGCATCACTCACAATTTTTCAGCTCCAAGAACAGCTCAACAAAATGGTGGTGTGGAGAGGAAGAATTGAACTCTTGAAGAAATAGCAAGAACTATGCTAGTTGACAGTGGCACCACAAAGTATTTCTGGGCAGAAGCTATCAATACTACATGCTACTTGGTAAACAGGTGCATGATTAGGTCCCTTCTAAACAAAACTCCGTATGAACTCCTTAATGGACGAAAGCCCAAGCTGACACATCAATGAACTTTTGGGTGTAAATGCTTTGTTCATAACAATGGAAAGGAAGCTCTTGGAACGTTTGATTCTAAAAGTGATGAAGGAATTTTTCTGGGTTACTCATGTAAAAGCAAAGCTTACAAGGTTTACAACAAAGGACTCAATGTGTCAATGAAATCATACATGTGATCTTTGATAAAGCTCGCCTCTCCTGTGAGAAGGACGAACATGTTGATCAAGATGGAGAGCCCTTATTTGTTCCAGGTGAAGTAATTGACATGGAAAATGTAAAGGCATACGTGATAAGTCGTGTCAAGGAATCCAGTAAAGAAGATGCATATACATCTCCATCAATTGGAGAGGAACTCGGTCGCCCGATTACAACAGCTGAAGCTGAAAATAGAGTTGTTGATGCAGTCCAAGGAACTCCACTCTGTGAAGTTAGAAGCGCTCAAGAACCCCACTCAGATGTACCTGGTTCCTCTACCAATGAGACTCATGCATCAAATTGGAGATTATAAAGTTCACATCCTGTTGACAGTATAATCACTCCTCTTGACTCAGAGCTCAAACCATATCGAAAGCAAGGAATTAACTTGCCTTCTCAGTCAGTCTTACCCAAATAGAGCCCAAAAATATAAAAGAGGCGCTAAAAGAAAGAAGTAGACTAGATCACAACCGTGAAAGAAGAGTTGCATCAATTTGAAAGAAACAAGCTATGGAACCTGGTTCCTCGACCTGCTGATCGATCCAATATAGGAACCAGGTGGGTATTCAGGAACAAACTTGATGAGTTTGAAAATACAGTAAGAAACAAGGCAAGGCTTGTAGTTCAAGGCTACAATCAGGTAGATGGGATTAATTATAATGAAACTTTCGCTCCTCTAGCTCGAATAGAGGCAATTTGAATTTTGATTGCTTTTGCGCGTCATATGGAGTTCACGTTGTTTGAAATGGATGTAAAAAGTGCATTTCCAAATGGCTATTTAAAAGAAGAAGTCTATGTCAAGCAGCCTCCTGGTTGTGAGTGTCACGAGCACCCTGATCATGTGTTTAAACTAGATAAGGCATTGTATGGGTTAAAACAGGCTCTCATGGCTTGGTATGAGATATTGTCAAAATTCTATCTGGAAAATTGATTTGCATGAGGAAAGATTGACAACACTCTTTTCTAAAGAAACTGCTACATCCCGTACTGTAATGTTAGGATTCGTCGAAGTAATAGCATATGAGTTGGAAGGGATTAAGGTTATACATGAAGATATGGATGTAAGACCCTATAAGTTTGAAGAATTTCGAAACTACTATATATTGGCTTGATATGTATTTTCTTTGAAGTAAACCATTTTCGATAAAAGTTGATAGATGAAATTTTATATGGTTGTGATAAGTTTTAAATTAAAAACATGATATGCGGAAGTTTGTAATTGATGTTTTATTTATTATAAGAGTAAATGATAGTTTATCAAAAGAAAAGTTATATTTTCTACGTTTTGAGAATGTATAGTACAAAAA